GTACATTTTAAGGCTTTTAGTAAACATTGCCGTGTTGCCCTTCACAAAGTTGGCACCAGTTTGCTGTCCCACCAACGGTGTATGGAAGTGTCCACTTCTCAAGTCTGTGGTCAACAGCAGGCGCTTAACTTTATAATCTTCTTTTCAATTTGATAAGTATAATACAAAATGATGTCTCAATGTTTAATAACACGGCATTTCTTTGATGATGTATCTGAATATAATTACATGTGTTCCACAGTCAGATATGCATACTTTTTTTTGTGATTTGTTTTTTTAGGTCCTTGGTCCTTTGTTTTGTTCATATGTTTCTTATGTCTTTGTGTTGTGTACATAAGCTCCACTAACCCACTGGCAGAGTGATTATTAGCTTGGAGCCAGTCTTCCTGGGCCCAAACCCCACTCTGCCTCTTACTGGCTGTGTAACCCTGGATAAGTTCATTCACCTCTCTGTGCTTCAGTTTTCTCATCTATAAAATGAAGACTTGTGCCACCTCAAAAGGTTATTGTGTGGCACTGTCTCTGGCACGTACTAATTGCTAAATAAGTGTGAGTTATTATAAACACTTAAGATACTCTCTACATAGTAAGGATGTTGAACTTTTATTATATGTTACAAATACTTTCCCCTATTTTTCTTTTGTATATGGCTATTAACCTACAAAATCCTGTAAATCAGATTTATCCATTTTTTTCTGTTAATAGCTTCTACCATGGTGTAATGCATATAAAGTTTTTTCTTATTGCAGGATTATGTACATATCACCATATTTTCATTCAGGGTTTTGTCTGCTTTTGTATTAGTGTACTTCATTAAAATTTTTTAAATTATTTAACCGACATGGAATTAATTTTAGTAAATAGAGTGAAGTAAGATACCAATGTTATTGCTTTTTAAAATCCCAATTCTATTTATGGAATAGTCTCTCCTGTTTCTATTTATTTGAAACATCACCTTTATAGCGAATCACCATATATAGTGACACTTATATATACTTGTTAGTTCCTGGACTTTCTACTCCATTTCACCTAACAAAATATTTTGGTTTTAAAAAAAAGTAGGTCCTATATTTTTCCATTTAGATTGATTCCTATATATCTTATGTTTTTGTTGTGCTTTGGGAATAGAATATTTTCCCCTTATATATAAAATCTGCTGTTATTAAAATTTGCATCATATATGGAGCAAAGTCTTTTTGAATATTTTTAAATGGTTGTCTTACCAAACTGTCCTGTTTATCCTAATAGATGTTGTTACTTGATATGATATTTGCTAGTAATCATATCATTCAAATAATATTTTTTGTGGCTTCTTCTGTGACACATATACTTATTTTTTTTCTTATCACTACTGAAACTTCTACGATGTTCAGTGCTTAAAGTCGTTCTAGGTATTCTTGTCTCCATTTTTATTGGTGATTTTGGCTGTTGGTTAGAAGTAGCAATGTCATGTTTGGAGTTATAACTAAGAACAGATTTTTCTTCTTGCTTCTCAGCAAAGCCACGAAGGCCATCACATCTGTGATAAAATCATTCCACATCCCTTGTGTTTGTAATCATCAAGGGTGGGACTGTTTACCATTTTGCATCCGTCATGACTTAATCTGCATGTATGACATGATTTAAATCTTCCAACAGCCCTGTGAAGTAGATATTTTTATCCCTACTGTCTGATGAGGAAGCCAAAATTCAGAAGAAAAATGAGTTGATCAATCCCATGCCACCACATGACAACAGTGACATTTGAGCTAATTCTACTTGTTTTTTCCCCAGTGTTTTTACAAAATGATGGAAATAGTGGAAGTTACAAATTTCATGACTCTTTGAAATCCAAAAGGAATATAAAGAAATTCATATAGTCTTAACTCAGTAGCTCTCCAATTTTAATTTTCATGAGAATCACCTGGAATGCCTTTAAAAGTACAGATTCTTGGGCCCTTTTTTCAGAAATTTCAGTTTCTAGGGGCCAGGCTGGGATGGAGCCCAGGGAACTGCAGGTTTAAAGAGGAGGTCCACAAATACCCCTTTAAGAAACATTTTAACTATATAACTAGGTATATTATGTAGTTAACCATACTTCACAACTATTTGTAATACAGAAATTCTGCTGAGAGCTAATATAACAAGGCTCTCCCTGCCAGCTGTTCTAAGGTTCTGTTCTTACATAGATCTGTCCCCCTAGATCAGCCATCAGGCCTATTTAGTTTGTTTAAATCTAGGAAGAAACCAGTGTTCTGGCTGAGTTGTGTGAACAGTAAATATTTTATTGAATAAGATTTTGCTGACAACACCCACCGTGTTGAGGGAATGGTGTTTTCAAAGTCTTTTGCTGGGACCATGCTTTGGCCCTAAAGTAATGAAAACGGTTCTCCAATTTGTTTGTCCTTTGTCTACTGTCACTTCAACCAAGTTCTTGTCAGGAATTCTCTCTTACACATGGCTTAAGCCTATACATTTGGGAGCTCTTAAAAGAAATTAAGTCATTTCTCATTATTGGATTATCTTATGCCGATTCACTACTCCGTCTTCAATTTAATCAGGAAAAAATGCTGCGCCTTTGCATCTAGGACACATTTACTTTTATGGCATTGAATAGATGCAGACTGAGTAGCCGTGAAAGTTATTAACTACTTGTGATTTTAATGACAATCTTACCTGCACTATTTTGGACTGCAATTTTCCTGTGAGACACTAGATCTTACGTACATGTTAGATCGGGTTTATATTCCCCATCCATGCCCCATATTTTTCAAACATCAAATAGAAGCTCTCACAATTTCTGAGATTATGGACAGGAACTGATTTTATTAGAGTTTTTGGAAACCTGCCCCAAGGGGATGCTGACAGCAAACGTTTTTCACCCTGGCAGGGGGCTGTGTGAAAGGGGATTTTTAAATTTACTTCAAAGGACAGCTTATTTAAATAAATAATTAAAAAACTATATCTCCAAACACAGGGTATCTTAATTCGCAGGATGGGAAAGCAGGATGGACCTGGTGGAGAAGGTGGCTGTGAAATCAACCCCTAGCGCAGTTCCCAGCTGTCGAGGGGCTGGAAAAACTGCGACCCAGTTCTTTACACGATGCTTGCAGACGGACGGATTCATCCCGATACTCTACCAGGTAGGCGTCTGGCTGGCGTAATTCCAGGATCCCAAATAGCGCTTGGGTCTGGGTCCCTTGGAGTCCATGGTTCGCCCTAAGGGATGACTTTTCCTTATTAGATAATCCCCAGTTCATGGGCCCCTGGGGAGGCAGTTCAGTTGGTGTCTAATTCCTCGATGTATCAGAATGACTTCAGCCCTGATGAGACCATCGGGGAGAAAGGTCAGGAAAGAGGACGAGCTGGGGAGGGACAGAGCCCGGAAACAGCGTGAGAAGACGCGGCTGGGGCCTGGCTAGTGTCGCCAGCCCGCCCCTTGGGCATTGCTGTCTCCTCTGCCTGCTTCACTTGCCTCTGAACCAGAGGGTTACGTTTCAGAGCTTATCTGCTGTCCTAGCACAGATCCTCACAGGTTGGTTAAGCTTTGGCTT